AACGTGTGTTGGTCAGTCTTGTTAAGATTGGTGACAAATTACCTGACCACATATTTGTGCTCCAATCATAATCTTGGCAGAACTTATCAGCGCTATCGCAAATATTTTAGGGCGTGAAATAATCATGATTTATTCTCAGACATGATAAAATTATCAGACATTATAAAATTCTCAGACATGATAAAATTATCAGACATTATAAAATTTTCAGACATGACAAAATTATCAGACATTATAAAATGTTCAGACATGACAAAATTATCAGACATGATAAAACTCTCAGACATGACAAAATTATGAGACATGATAAAATTCTCAGACATGACAAAATTATCAGACATTATAAAATTCTCATACATGACAAAATTATCAGACATTATAAAATTTTCAGACATGACAAAATTATCAGACATGATAAAATTTTCAGACATGATGCGTGACAATTAACTCATCATTTTTAATTTTTTTATGATTTTTTAAAATTTTTGTTCGTATGGCAATAGTTATCTGGAAATAATTATCTGGAAATATTTATCTGACAATAGTTAACTGGAAATATTTATCTGACAATAGTTAACTGGAAATATTTATCTGACAATAGTTATCTGGAAATAGTTATCTGGCAATAGTTATTTATCTGGCAATAGTTATCTGGCATTTGTCATTTTGCAAAAGTTTTATTTAAATTGCGTATCTTGGGATTGGAAGCTAAACATCGAAATGACATCTTTATATCATGCTACAATGACATCTACATGTCAGGCTCCAATATTGTGCCAAAAAGAAAAAAGAGAAAATGTAACGAATTGAAGCATACACGACTCATTGCTGCTGAACTACTGACATTAGATGAGGATTTTAATATTCGATGTACATTTTATAAATAAATGACAGTTGAATCATTAACCACACGGTTAACCTGGACATCAATCAATGTAAAATGCCACTCCACCACATTACCACATCACCACACCAAGCGACTTCCCCATGCCACAACTCTACATCACAATCACAGCCCTACACAAAAAACTCAGACTTACACCAACAACCAGACTACACCACCACACTACACCACTACACAACACCACACAACACCACTACACAACCACACAAAACCACTACACCACCACACATTACATCGCTACACCACCGCTACACTACCGCTACACCACCACACAACACCACACAGCACCATTACACCACCACACAATACCACCACACAACACCACTACACCATCACCCCCAGCCTCACCAATGTACCAAACAAATACAAGGCAGCATGCATATATTGTGTTTTGAATTATCTGCTCCCCAGGTCCGTTGCAATGACGAAACAAGTGACCTCGATATCGCCGGTGTCAAACCAGTGACACCCGTTCATCCAATCCTGTGCCACTAAGAAACTGACCACTGGTCGACGCTATGACCACACGCCACAAAACGGGTAGCCTTTTGTCCACATTTGGGCTGGTGACTGGTTACACGTAGTACAAAGGCAACCCTTGACACTTTGCCTCCACAAAGCGGTAGCCATCTCTTCAAGTCTCCGACACATTTTGAGTGCTTCAGGTCTCAGATAAATTTTTTCCATCCCATTGCTGCGCGAATACCCAATCCAATGGCGTCAAGAACATGGCTTAAAAAAATAATACAATTGAATGACGTAAGTAGTACACCAAACTGACTCCTCGGTCTCTAAGAAAACACTTTGGATTTGAGGCTAACAGTTTTGTGGAATAAAATGTGTTCATGAAGACGTCATAAAGTGATGTGTCCATGGAAAATCGTGCACTTGGCGTATTCAAAGCTTAATTTAACTAAAGCCACTTCAGCACGTCCGTCAGACATCTGTTCCCGGCAGGTAGATTGACGTAAAGATTTGGGAGGGATACGACAGTTATAATGCGGACACGAGACATAAGTGATGATGTGGTGAGACCAGCAGTGTTGTGAAATAAAACCAACATTGGCGTAAAGATAAGATTATCCAGTGGCGTAAAGATGAAAATTGCAGTGGTGTAAGAATGCATCCATTGTCCAAGGATACTTTCTGTAAAGGAAAAATTCGCGTAAAGCACAAAGCTCAAGAAGATGAAGACAGTCGGCCTTGCGTTCCTTAATATGGAAACATTCCGTTAAACCGGCTTGTTTGTTTTAAACAGACTTCCTACTAAGCGGTCAGTTGTAACACCCCACAAACAAGTGGTCAGAGCCATTTAGGTGGGGGCCAACGTTAAGGGAGCAGCTGTCATTGTCCACCCCCATCACCCGACCTTTCATCTTTACTGTTGTTTTTTCCCAGCTATATATACATTGACTGGCTGTTGTATTAAATACATTTCGACATGGAAAAAGTACAATAAAAAAACAAAGTTTTAATGAGCAAACCGTGAATGTGTTTTAGAGACTCACGTGCGCAATCGTGTACGCCCACCGAGCTCCCCACTCACCCCCCCCCCGGCCCACGCCTTCATAGGCTTCGGTGGATGTTCCATACTTAAATAGCGGCCATGTCCAGGAGGGGACGGGAGGATGCGACTGACCGGCTGAGGCGTGGGCGGTCCCAGGACGGCAGTCCGGTCAGCATGGTGCACGCCCGCGGCACGGTCAACTTTCTCAGCCCAGACGCGCCCCACGGCGCCACCAGCTTGGAGAGGGCGCCCAGTCTGAACCGCCTCCACGCCCAGAGCTCCACGGAGACGAGCGGCCTCGGTGAGACGGTCACCTCGGGGTTCTCGAGCCAGGAGAGCGTGCACAGTTACGCCGGGGAGGAGAGGGAGCGGGGCGGCAGCATATGGGAGCGTTCCAGGAGACGGGGAGGGGGCGGCGGAGGGAGCCCCGCGAGTGGGAGGTACCTGACTGATCACGAGTATCTGGAAAAAGAAGGAGGCTACTTACGGCAGCAGGCGCACGGGATTGCCTCCCATCCCTTACATCTTACAGTACCGCGGACCCCACAACAAACAGAGTCGGGGTCCAAGGGCGCACACTTCGACGATCGGTTGAGACCGAAGCACGAGAGGGAATCTCCTGCGCCGAATCAAGTGCGTCGACCCAGAGACACCGGAGGGAGGAGTCTCACCCCGCAACAGGCGAGAGAAGAGTTCGAGGAGCGACAAAGAAAACAGGAATACGGGGGCGGTAAAGAACGCGGCGCCCCGGGTAAAACTATTTCTTTGGAGAAACGAAGAAGTGGCTCCTCGTCGCAATCGAGCGTAGACAAACCGCACCCAAAGGGCGCCAGTTCGTCGGACCGTCAGAAATTCTCCGACTCTTTGGAGTTGCAGGACGTGAAAGAGAGACCGTCCAGCTCTTCTAAAGACAGACCGCCCTCTAGCAGCAGCGGGCACCCGGAAGCTGATGTCAGGAGGAGGATCAGATCATCCAGCGGCAGTCGCGAGAGCAGCACGGTAGAGGCCGACAGAGAGTATCAGCGACAAAACTCGAGCGGGAAAAAAAGCGAGAGGCCCACCGCGGGAATCGGAAAGTCGCGGTCCAACAGCAAAGAGAGCGTCCCCGCAACGCCAGCTGTGCGTGTGAGCACTCGATCCGGTAGTAAAGAAGGTGCTGCACCCATATCAACATCTGCTCGCCACAGCGGTCGCTCAAACAGTAAAGATGGCCCCGCCGGCGTAGCACCGGGTCGCAGCGCCTCTCGGACTAACAGCAAAGACGGCGTGAACGGCTCGTCCGCGGGCGCCAGAGGTGGCGCCAGGTCAAACAGCAAAGAGGGCGTCGTCAACACCCCGGCGCGGGCCGGTTCCCGGTCCAACAGCAAGGACGGGGTACCCACCCCCGTCGGCGTGAGACCCGGCGCGCGGTCGAGTAGTAAGGACAGTATCGACTTGAATGTTCACTCCAGCAGTCGGGACAGCGTGTTCCATTCAGACGGAACGAATAATGGGGCCAGTCAGGACAACGGGAAAAGCTCGTCCGAGCTCGGCGGCGTGAAGGATCGCGAGAGAGGGTCCAACTCTAAATCACGTGACCAGGTCAAATCTCAGTCGAGCAATTCGAGGACTAACTCGGACGAGTACCACGGATCCAGCAGCTCCAAGAAAAGCTTCGAGACCGTCCGACTGAAGAGCCATTCCCAGGATTCGAGGGTGAATTCCGAGGAGGAGGTGTTTTCGATAGCCGGTAAAAAACCGGCGGTGAGAGAGGAGAGCCCGAAGCCCGTGTTGGAGTTGACCAGCCAGGTGAACGTAGAGAGCTCAGGTAGGAGGAAGCGTTATTCGTCGAATGGAGAAAGTGCCTACGATGCCCAGAAGAGCGGGAAAGGTGCATCCGAACCGGTGGATACTTCCGGTTACAGGAGGAGAAACGACGAGGAGTGGCAGCAGCGAATACCGGCGAGAGACTCCGAGGGTGCAAGAAGCTCGGCGTTGAACGAGTCAAGACGAGGCAGCGAGAGGCAAAGGAGTGAACCGGTGGGGACGAGAGGTAAGTCGGGAAAGGAGTACGAGAGGAGTCGAAGCTCGGAGGTGAGTTCGGAACATGGTAGCAGATCCCAACCCGACACGAAACGCACGCACCCACGTGGGAAAGAGGAGGAGGAGACCACTTTGCCAGAAAAAACTCGAGGGACTGAGGCACAAAAGGACGTGAAAATTATCGATCGTTCGTCGAGGGCGATCGGGGGCAAAACTGACGTCAGACCGAAAGCCTCGAAGCCGGAGAGCGTCGCCGGGGATAGTGGTGGCGTACGGCCAAAGGATGCCAGGAGCGGCGGCGGTGAGAGGCTTAGAGATGACGTCAGGATTACGCACAGGCATGGCGACGACTTCAAGCCCCGGGAAAAACGAGTCAGCGTTGACGAGTTTTTAGATCCACCCGAGACCTCTCCTCGGAAAACGGAACGTTTCAGGTACTCTCCGAGCGACACAAACGAGACTCGGGCGGAGCATGGAAGGACGAGGCGACGTCGAATATCGGATGACGACAAGTTCTCCGTATTCGATGCCGAGAGTGTGAAATCGGAGCGCGAGGAGAGAAAATCCAAAATGGATTACGATCGCCTGTTCCATCAGGCGAGCAGAGGCATCAACGGAACGGGTGGAGGCGGCGGGGGCGGTCCAGGTGCCCGAGGATACCCCCAGGTTCTCGACGGCGGATACGCGTCTCCACCGATGAGAAGAGTGGGCGGCGGTCAGTTCGGCCTGAACCAAAACAACCTCGGCGGAAACCAGGCGTTCGGGCCGGGGGGTGCCCCGCCGCCGCAGGATGTTGCGAGAAATGTGTTGACGCCCACCCAGGGCGCCGTCAGTGTTTCACCAAGTCCTATTCTCAGAAGTGCTCCTTATACAAAATTCCAGGTCCCGACCACGCCTATCGGGCCCATCCCAACGGTGCAGCTCATCTCCTCCCCCGAGGGCCCCGGCCTCAACCTGGACAACATTCAAGAGGAGTGGGAGCGTCGTGGCAGTAAGAGCTCCAACCGGAGTCACCCCTCGAACCGCAGTGGCGGGGGCGCCAAATTCCTCGGCGTCAACACGGAGTCAGCGTGGACCAAATGGTCGCGGGAGCGGCGGGCCAGCTACCGGCGACGGATCGAAAAATTGGAGCGGATGGAGTCCGGCACCCCAGCCTCCGTCACCAACAACAACGAGGTGGTCCGGGTGTCGACGCCCGTCAAGAAGGCGCGCCAGGAGGGGATGAAGTTCGTCCACCCGGATCTGGAGGCGAGGTACCTCTCGGAGGACGACCTCAACGAGCTGCGGCGGCACAAGCAGCAGCAGGTCAACGTCATGCGGGTCATCGAGAAGAGCCGAAAGAACAAGTTTCAGATGAAGACCGAGGCCAAGCTGACCGCCGAGCAGTGGCACGTGCTGCAGGAGTTCTGGGATCACGCGCTCTTCGTCCGGGCGCGGTTCTTCGCAGTTCTGGTCAGCTTCTTGGCCTTCGTGTTGATGGTGATCAGCATCACGCACCAGGATTGGATTACGTACGGTGAGTTTGGTGCGTTGTATTGTGAACTGTGTAATGTTCAGGGCTGTGTTGTTTGTGTTCAGATCTGTGTTGTGTTCAGGGCTGTGTTATTTGTGTTCAGGGCTGTGTTGTTGTGTTCAGGGCTGTGTTGTTTGTGTTCAGGGCAGTGTTGTTTGTGTTCAGGGCTGTGTTGTTGTGTTCAGGGCTGTGTTGTTTGTGTTCAGGGCTGTGTTTTGGTGTTCAGGGGGGTGTTGTTTGTGTTCAGGGGAGTGTTGTATGTGTTTAGGGCAGTGTTGTTTGTGTTCAGGGCTGTGTTGTTTGTGTTCAGGGCTGTGTTGTTTGTGTTCAGGGCTGTGTTGTTTGTGTTCAGGGCTGTGTTGTTTGTGTTCAGGGCTGTGTTGTTTGTGTTCAGGGCTGTGTTGTTTGTGTTCAGGGCAGTGTTGTTGTGTTCAGGGCAGTGTTGCACGTTGTATGATGTCCAGTCCCTTATTTTGTTCTTCAAGTATATTATTGAGACTATGCCATTGCTTTTACCCACCCAGCCAAGCCCTTGCAAAACACGTCTTCTACGACAAACATTTTTTCTGTGTAGTTTGTTTGTTTGTTTGTTTGTTTGTTTGTTTGTTTGTTACAGTAATTCATGCTTAATTATACCTTGAGTTTTATTGATACCTTTTTGTCATCTTAAGTGCACTTCTCCCCTTCTCCCTATGCCCCCCCCCTCCCCCCAAAACCAAATAATACTTTTTATAATATATTGTATATAGAATGGAAATAATGACAAGTTTACCAGTAATAAGCGCTGACCCTGACCCAAAACACATGATGTCCTTGACTTTGTGTTGTCCTTGACTTTGTTGTCCTAGACATCTCACATTAAAATCTCACATCCACATATCCCACCCAAATCTCACACCCACATCTCACAACCACGCCTAAAACCCACATCTGACTACCACATCTCACACTCACATATCACACTAACGTCTCACACCCACGTCTCACATCTACATCTCACCCCCCACATCTTCACCCTCATCCACGCCCACAAACCCAACCACATTCCAATCCCTGGCCTAACACACAACTTCTTCCTTCACACTGCACCCATTCGACTAATTTGAGAACCTCGGAATCATCTCACGAAACCTCTGAATAATGCAGTTTATTGATTTCTGTAAGCTGGAATCAATCCTTAGATTCTACCTCCCCCACCCCTCAAACAACACCCACTCACCCATTTGACCCCCTACCCCCACCCCTTATTCTACGTGCGTGAACTTTACCGACGTGTTTTCCGTCGGCCGACAACTAACTACCGACGTGTTTTCTGACCGCCGACAACTAACTACCGACGTGTTTTCTGACCGCCGACAACTAACTACCGACGTGTTTTCTGACCGCCGACAACTAACTACCGACGTGTTTTC